TCATCACAACAGGCGCTTATTTGTTTCTGCTCGTAAAAAAATGTAAATGAGTCCTCGAAAGAGGCGAAGTCCCTGTTTGCTGAGAAAATGAGGCACCGCATAGCCACTAAAAAATTTGGCTCTCGTGACTACTGATAGCTCTGTAATAGGGTACTAAATAAATTCAAGGTCTCTATTCCCCCTCTTCAATCTGTTATCATCCTCTGCTGATAAATCTGTGTACTGTGCCCGTAAATTCTCTTCGAACTCTACTCATTGCGCATCAGGGGTATCCCCGCCTTACTTCGCACTCAGAAATGAATCTCTGTTGAGTGATATACATATAACCCCTTCCGTGGCTTCTGCTATCATCTCTAACCTAGATCCCCACAAAGCATATGGACCCGATGGCATCCATTTAATAGTCATTAATTAAGAAGTGTGATCCCGAACTGGCTCCTGTTCTCTCTAAGCAGTATAATCCTGTTTTCCCGCCTACTGTAAGCCATTGTGTGTTGTTCCAGTTTTTAAGAACTCTTGTGAACCGTCCGACCATTCCAACTATCTACCTCTTTTGGGGAAATTCCTAGGGACCCTTATCAATGATGAATTGGTTCGTCATCTCTTATTACAAAGCCTTTTCTCAAACAAGCGATATGGCTTTCATTTCTTCAGATCAACTATCTATGTCCTGACGATAATTGCGGAAAGAGTCTATCAGGCTCTAGATAAAAACGGTGAAATCCGAACTTTGGCAATGGAAATCTCGTACGCCTTTGTCAGGGTCTGACATACAGGTCTTCTACACAAGCTGAAAAATTACGGTGTCTCCAGACATATTTTTGAACTGATCCAGCTTTTCCTATTAAATTGTGGAATGAAAGTTATTCTGAACGGACTATCGTCTAAATGATTTTATTTTTATTTTTTTTTTTTGTATTTTTTTTCCTATTGTGGCATTGTTAGGGCCAGAAATAAAGACATAAGAGGGGAATTTGAGTTAAACAAACATATTTACAGAAACAGTAATACAAACTTATACAAATTAAAGTGTTACAGCAAGAATGTTCTGTCCGATTGTCAGAGCTGACTGCTGGGAACTTCCCTCTCCAAAAGGAAGTACCTGCTCCTATTTATAACTGGGAGTGTCCATGCGTGCGTGGGTAAATTATCATAACATTTACTAACGTGGGTGTTCCGCAGGGCTCCATTCTTGGTCCTACTCTGTTTTAAATCTTCATTAATGACCTTCCCGATGACATCAGCTCTCAATTTGGCATCTACGCTGAAGACACAACCATTTACTTCTGCCTCGATAGTAAGGCTGATCAGTCCGACAAGGTCAAAATGGCAGCCAATGTCCAAAACTACCCCCAATTCCGTCGTTAACTGGGGGTAAAAGATAGCTTGTCAATTTTGACGCATCTAAAACCAAACCTATCTCCATTAATCATCTGAGAGACCTCTCTCTGCTTTCCATCAGTATGGCTGATGCTAACCTCCAGGAAAATGACTCGTTGCCTCTTCACAGGCTAACGTTCTCATCTGATATGAAGTGGAAAGACTATATTAAATTCACTGCTAAGTTATCTGCTAAGAAAGTCGGTTCACTGTGTCGGGCGAGACAATTTTTCTCTTACATATCTATGTCTAGGATTTGTTTAGAATATTGCTGACGCATATGGTCTGATGCCCCTGCTATTTACCTTGAGCTCCTTGATAAAATCCAAAGAAGAATCAGCAATATTATTGGTCCTGATCTGGCGGCTCGGGTTCTGTCACTTACCACCGCCATAAAGTAACCTCTCTGTGTATTTTCTATAAATATTTTCATGGTAATTGTTCGGATGAGACCTTCGCTATGGTACCTAGAGTATTTTTAAAAATTTAAGCTTAGTACTAGACTGGCCTCGAGATCTCATCAATTGACAGTTTAGCTGGCTAGATGTAGCCGTATATTCTATGCTAACAGTCTCTTTTCTCGAACTTCTCGCTTGTAAAACCTCCATCCGGCTCCATGCTTTCCAGCCAACTTTAATCTGTAAAAATTTAAGGCCATCTCAATCGCTATCTACTATCCTCCTGATTACTCTTATCTCTTTGCACTCAAATAAATAAAAATAAATAAATAATAATCAAATCAAAATTTCACCATCTCTAAAAATATATATATATTTAGAATCACTAGGCTATTTGGTCATATTTCGACCAGCTAATTAGAAACCATCCCAACCAGGATATAAACATCATAGTCTAGCGAGCGAATCAGAAGAATAGATTTATATTCAGAATCACCACGCCATAAGGTCATATTTCGGCCAACTAATTAGAAACCGTCACAACCAGGATATAAACATTATAGTCTAGCGATGAATCAGAAGCCACATCGGTCCCCAACCATGATATAAGGTCACTGATTTTGGACCAAAAATTTAGATGCAATATCAATCACTATATACTGTCCTCCTAATTATACTTTTCTCTTCCTTCTTATTAATGTTTCTGTGCCGAATTCTTCCACATTCTGTTTCATTAATGTTTCTGTTCCTAATTCTTAGACACCCTTTAACCCATTGTGTCTAAGTGGCTATACTGTCTTTTTTTAGGTTGATAGAGTTTTTTTTTTAAACGCCGATATTCTGAATTTGCAGGGAATATTCCGTTCCGATGCTCCATTTGCTCAAATCAAATTCCTTATCTTTATTCTCCTATTGATTGTTTATCTCTTCAGATGATCTTTCGTCGTCCTTTCTTTTTCTTTTTCTTTTTTTTTTTTTTTTTTCGTTTCACATCAACTTCATTAAAATTCTCCTTTTAGGCACGTTTCAAATCAGCGTGATATAAACGGAAAACCTGTTTTCTTTTTGTTTATTTTGTTTTGGGGGATTTTATCTTTTTATAGGCATATAATCTAAGGCTTTATTCGGATTCCAACATATTTTATCGGACCAAACGTAAACAAAATTCTTTTACATTCTTTTGACTTACGTCATTTAAGATGTGAATACCTGAGTAACTAAATGTCTCTTTCAAACAAAATTAAATAGGATTCATGTTGAACAATAAACGATTTATTTATCAAGATTTGAACAAGATATTCAAAAGAGGTAGATTTTATAACCAATTTTGCCAAGCTTCACAAATGTTCAATATGTGCACAAACTCTGACATGACATAAGTCAAGTTGGTAATCCAGCTCCTGCCATACACGCTGTAGCATGTGTTGTGTAACATTCTCCAGTGCTTTAGTGATTCTCTGCTTAAGTTCTTCTAGGAAGCGGTGAGGGATATAAACCTATCTTTCACATAGTCTTATAGAAAAAAAATCAAAAGGTGTCAAGTCAGGTGAACATGGTGGCCATTTCAACAGCACATTGTCATTATCACTGGCATACCTGATCCATCTTCCTGGTAGATTCTCATTGAAATAAGTTTGCACAGTCAACTTAAATTTTACTCTTTTGATTAAAATTTGAGATCATTTGAGTGAGAATTGGCTATGTTATATATATATATATATATATATATATATATATATTATATATATTGTATAGAGGGTGTCCTTCAAAAATCGACATCATTTAAAATGTGAATATTTGAATAACTAAATGTCCCAGTCAAACAAAGTTAAATAGGATTCATGTTGAACAATAAAAGATTTATTTATCAAGATTCTAACGAGATATTCAACGGATATCGATTTCATAATTGATTTCACAAAGCTTCACAATTGTTCAATATGCAAACCACCTGTGACACAAGAGCACATTGGCATATCCAATCCATCTTCATGGTAAATTCTCATCAAGTGAAGTCTGAACAGTCAACTTAGATTTTACATTTTGTTAAAATTTGAGATCATTTGAGCGAGAATTGGCTATGTTATTAGACTACAAAATGATGTCAATTTTTGGTGTTGGGGGGGGGGACCCTACACTTTGAACCAAAAAATACAGGGTGTTGTGGAGAACCACAATTGCTCACATCCTGAAGGAAAGGGGACACATTTTATATATATATATATAAATTATAAATATTGCATAGAAAGTGTCCTTCAAAATCGACATCATTTAAAATGTGAATGTCCGAGTAACTAAATGTCTCAGGCAAACGAAATTAAATAGGCTTCATGTTGAACAATAAAAGATTTATTTGTCAAAATTCGAACAAGATATTCAAAGGGTTGTAGATTTTATAACCGATTTCAGAAAACTTCACAAATGTTCAATATGCACACCACCTTTGACACAACACACGTCAACTCGATAGTACAACTCCTGCCAAACACGCTGTAGCATGTCTTACGTAACATTCTCCAGGAATCGGGAACGCGATTCTAAACAGTAAACAAGTGATAATACTCTACTTTAAAAGACCGGGGGTGAACCGGACGATAGGCGAGCCTATCAACTCCTATTAAATCCCTCTATCTGGTAAAAGCCTCACATTTTGATTAATAAGTTCAGAAAATTGTCAGACAGAAATTACTTTCAAGTCTGTCCTTAAAATAAATATCACTTCTCCGGTAATCTATTATTATGATTATTATTATTATGATTATTGTATAATTATTGACATTTATTTTTAACTTCAGATATATAAATGTTATAGTAATTTATCCACGCACGAATGAACTCTCACAGCTATAAATAGGAGCAGGTACTGCCTTTTAGAGAGGGAAGTTTCCAGCAGTCAGCTCTGACAGTCGAACCGAACATTCTTATTGTAACACTCTCGTTTGTATATGTTTGTATTACTGTTTCTGTTAATATATTTAACTCAATTCCTCTCTTATGTCTTTATTTCTGGACCTGACAAGGCCACAACAATAAAAATCCATGAAATAAGGATTTACTGATACAAGTCCTACTAATTAATCCAAAGATGAGAGAAGAGGGGGATTTATACCTTTCTCAATGACATTTGGCGTTAGTGAATATAGCGAACCAGACTAGAATTGTAACTCGGCTCCACGACTTCCAACTGAGTTATTATCCATTACCCCGCCCGCACATCCAAACTTACAGCACCTAGTATTTCCAAAGCCATCTTGGTACTAACCAGGCTCGACGTTGCTTAACTTCGGTGATCGTACAAGAACCGGGGTTTCAATGTGAGATGGCCTTAAGCCTACAGAAGAAAGGGTTTTTAGAATGTCACTAAAAGGGATTTGGGAAGAGCTACACGAAAACATATTTCACAACAGTAGTTTTTAGTGTTTAATTCAGCGCGACATTATATGGACGCCAGGGAGAGACTAGTCTTTGGCTCCTTCATGAAATTATTCAGCCAACAAGATAAGAGAGGGTCAATGTGTTGAGAAAATGCAACATGGATTAAATATTATAGGCCCCTTTTCAAGTATTTAGACATTTAACCTACTTTATGGTTGCCGTTCGTTGGCGAAGGTTGGTATTTTGCAATAACTATTTCGAAAATTGCAGTATGACTGACAAAAACGAAATAAAAATAAATTTTTGTGAAGGAAGTCTATTCTGAGGTAGAAGGGGGTTTTTTAAAAAAAAAAAAAAAAAGAAAAGACGAATCATCACGTATTTGATTTCCTGCTGCGATCCCATTGGAGATCTTAACAGTCTGCCATAGTCATTTTGCATAGTTAAGTGAAAAAATTAATGTTCACAGCGTTTAGACATCGTTTCCTTTGAAAGAAGAAAACGACTGATCTCGGGAACATCTAGGGAAGATTTTTTATCTAAGTGAAATGTTATAGTTTTATTACGAATTCAACTTCAGCTATCGTTAAACGCTGCTTGTCTGCATTGAAAATGAGGAAATATATTGATTTTCTGTTAAGTTTGGTTTGGTTTGTTTTACGGCATTTCAACCTCAATGGGTTATTTAATGCCGACAAATTTTTTATTGCTGGTAATATGTTTTCCCTTCAAAAATGTATAGTTTGGTTTGGTTTGTTTTACGGCATATCAACCTCAATGGGTTATTTAATGCCGACAAATTTTTTATTGCAGGTAATATTTTTTCCCTTAAAAAATGTTTAGTTTGGTTTGGTTTGATTTGTTTTACGGCATATCAACCTCAATGGGTTATTTAATGCCGACAAAATTTTTATTGCTGGTCATATTTTTTCCCTTCAAAAATGTATAGCTTGGTTTGATATGTTTTCTTTTACGGCATATCAACCTCAATGGGTTATTTAATGCCGACATTTTTATTGCTGGTAATAAGTTTTTCCCTTCAAAAATTGTATAGGTTAGTTTGGTTTGGTTTGGTTTATTTTACGGCATATCAACCTCAATGGGTTATTTAATGCCGACAACATTTTTATTGCTGGTCATATTTTTTCCCTTAAAAAATGTTTAGTTTGGTTTGGTTTGATTTGTTTTACGGCATATCAACCTCAATGGGTTATTTAATGCCGACAAAATTTTTATTTTTGGTCCTTTTTTTTCCCTTCAAAAATGTATAGATTGGTTTGGTTTGGTTTGGTTTGGTTTGGTTCATTTTACAGCATATCAACCTCAATGGGTTATTTAATGCCGACAGCATTTTTATTGCTGGTCATATTTTTTCCAAAAATGTATTGATGTTAATAATTTATTAAAAATTTATTGCTCATATTAAAATGTGTTTTTACACTTTCATCGTGTTTTGATCCCAGTTTGGGGGTTAACTATTTGTCCATAGTTGGGACCCTAACAGATGTTAGCACCCCGGGTCAGAGTGGACTTGGAAACACCAGCAATCAAGAGGTGGTTCCACGCTCGTCAAAACCTCTTGATCAGATGCCTTTCTGTTGAGCATAGTTTATCGTCATACCCAGGACGCGATTTAAACATTTTATCGAGAGCATTGACATGGCAGCCGTCTTACAGAAAATGAAAACTCGAATGGATATAATCTAGTTGTATTAAAATCATTTTTTCAGTAATACGGGTTGCAACAAAGAAAACTGTATCTCCTGGAAGGAAAACAACACTGGACGGGCCTGCTGGAATGTAATTTGAACCCGTATCGTGTTTTTTATTATTATTACTATTATTATTAATAATAATATTATTTGTTACCGGAGACCATTCTTGCCAGATGCTTTTGATTGCGATCATTAAGGGCCCGTGGCCGGACAATGCGTTGTCTACAATAGACAGTGGTGTTTTTCTTATGGAATTCATTGTATACACGTGATACTGTAAGCGGAAGAACGTCAAATGTCACCGCAATTTCAGGAAAAGAATGTCACAGGCGTTTTTCATCCATTATGGCGCGTTCGGTCTCCCATAACTCACGTCGCATTGCTGTGAACAGTCAAACCGATGCAGTAAATAGTCTAATGAGATTTCCGGTCTCCGGCCATCGTTTTGGAATGAGTCAAAAAGTAATGCAATTTGTTTTATTATCTATATATAAAATTCTGTGACTTCCGTTAGTCCGTCCCTCTAAAATTGCCATACATTGACCGATTGAAACCAAATTTTGGGCAGAAGTGCCCACTGGCTATCTTCAGGAATTCATTATTGTTTGTCCTTTAAGATAAGGAATTGTCAATATACAAACGAGAGTGCTACAGCAAGAATGATCGGTCCGACTGTCAAAGCTGACTGCTGGAAACTTCCCTCTCCAAAAGGCAGTACCTGCTCCTATTTATAACTGAGAGAGTCCATGCGTGCGTGGATAAATTACCATAACATTTACTAACGTCGCTACTCTGCAGGGCCCCATTCTTGGTCCTACTGTTTTAAATCTTCATTAATGACCTTCGCGATGACATCAGTTCTCAAGTTGGTATCTACACTGAAGACAACCATTTACTCCTGCTTCTATAGTAAGACTCATCAGTCCGACAAGGTCAAAATGGCAGCCAATGTCCAAAACTACCCCAAATTCCGTCGTTAACTGGGCAAGATATGGCTTGTCAATTTTAACGCGTCTCAAACCAAACTTCTCTCCATTAATCATCTGAGAGACTCCTCTCTGCTTTTCATCAGTATGGCTGATGCTAACCTCCAGGAAAACGACTCGTTACGTCTTCACAAGCTAACGTTCTCATCTGATATGAAGTGAAAAGGCTATATTACATCCACTGCTAAGTTATCTGCTAAGAAAGTAGGTTCGCTGTGTCGGGCGAGACATTATTGTTCTGTGCTTTAAGATAAGAAATTGTCAATAGACTTTGACTTATTCAATTTATTTCAATTGTTGTTTTCATCTTTGGTTGGGATATATTCTTTTATAGACACGGCGCTTTGGTCAAAATACGAACAACAAGGTGGACAGGTATACTTAGAATCAGAAAGAGGCAATTGAAATTTCTGGGTCACATCACGAAGAAAGAGGGCTTGGAGAATTTGACACCCACAGGGCATAGTGAAATCAAGAGGGGCAGCGGGAAACAGCGAATAATCGATCTACCGAATTTGTGAAAAAGGATACCAGACCAGGGAGTGGAAGAAAGTAATGAGGGCAAATCTACAAAAGATGGGATGTTGTGGAGACGCATGATCTCCCACGTCTTGGAGATCTATAAACTTTTTCGTGTGCTTATTTAGTTCTGATATATTTTTCTGTACGTATATCTAGATGAGCATGTGGCCGAATTGTTAGAATGTTCGTTGTACAAACCTGAAACCCGGGTTTGTGGTAGAATTGTCAAGAAATGGCTTGGAAACAAAAGCAGTGCAAACATGTAAGTGGGTACAACGTACAGTTGGTTTGACTAGGGTGCGTAACTTAGTACAATAATTTTTTTATTAATCTTTTGGTAAAAATTAGAAGTTTTATTATTTAGCCTACAGAATACTACCACTATTTTAAAAACAATTTAACGATTAAAATAACAAATACTTATTTGCAAAAAAATGCAATATCATATTTTTTATATACAAGAATCCAGTTTCCAGTCCGCACTGATTTTGAGAGACCTATAAACAAATCACAAGGCCTAACGCTTCAAAAAGTTGGAATTTGGCTCCAGAAAGAAATATTTACTCGTTGCCAGTTGTATGTTGCATGCTCAAGAGTAAGAAATCTTAAGAATTTATTCTTCGCTGTTAAAAAGGAAAAAAATAAACTTTCTTAAAAAATATTGTTTAGTATTAAATTAAATTAAAGAAATTATTAAACAAAGTATTTTCCAAACAAATCAGCTTATTAAAATTTCATCGATTGGTTTGCGAAATTGAACGAAACGTGAGTTTGTTAATCTGGAAAAAATGTTAGCAATAACTTCAACAATACTAAATACTATGGGATTTCAACACAGCTTGTTGCAAAAAGAATTGTAGTATAAGAAATAAGCGACGCAATCAAGCACATTGTATATCAAGTTATACATCTATACATCACAGGTTCACATCCCTACTTCATAACATAGTCACAACATCATTCAGTGGAGTTGTTTCACCTTAGGAATGAGGTCATGTATCCCAACTTCATAAAACTCAGCTGGCTGCAGAGATAGCCAATTCCTTTCAGCAGTTTTCAATTCATCATCACGGCCATAACGTCTGCCTCTCAGTGCCTCCTGCATTGGACCAAAGAGATGGAAGTCTCCGGGTGCTAAATAAGAAGGTGATAAAGAAGTGAAAACTCTTCTAAGGAAACTACATCAGCAGCCAACAGATGTCCTTATCACTGTAAAAAAAATACACGATGTCTTCTCAAACACGAGTAAGCACTAGAATACAACATTTAAGGTAACAAGAAATAAAATTGGATGAATTCTTTTTTAAATTCATTAATTTCTTAAATATATATCCTATATATATATATATATATATATATATATATATATATATATATATAGGATTAATAAGAGTGAAAGTTTGTCATTTAGCTGATGTTACTTTCTACATCTCGACTTCAGAGTTTCGTAGACGAACCTGTCCGAACAATTTTCAAGGTTTATCAGAAATTTACTGCTTATATATATATATATATATATATATATATATATATATATATAGATAGATAGATAGATAGATAGATAGATAGATAGATAGATAATGTTAGTGGTAAATATACATACGTATGCAAAATATATAAATAACCACACATGTATATTTTTAGAATAAAAATTCCAAGAGGAAGAATCCAGGTAGAACTCAATGTCCAGGACAGAGTAAGGATATAATAAAAAGGCTTAAACACTA